ACTCTTATATATTGGGCGTACAAAAACTCTTATATATTGGGCGTACAAACACTCTTATATATTGGGCGTACAAACACTCTTATATATTGGGCGTACAAACACTCTTATATATTGGGCGTACAAACACTCTTATATATTGGGCTTACAAACACTCTTATATATTGGGCGTACAAACACTCTTATATATTGGGCGTACAAACACTCTTATATATTGGGCGTACAAACACTCTTATATATTGGGCGTACAAACACTCTTATATATTGGGCGTACAAACACTCTTATATATTGGGCTTACAAACACTCTTATATATTGGGCATACAAACACTCTTATATATTGGGTGTACAAACACTCTTATATATTGGGCGTACAAACACTCTTATATATTGGGCTTACAAACACTCTTATATATTGGGCGTACAAACACTCTTATATATTGGGCTTACAAACACTCTTATATATTGGGCGTACAAACACTCTTATATATTGGGCGTACAAACACTCTTATATATTGGGCTTACAAAAACTCTTATATATTGGGCGTACAAAAACTCTTATATATTGGCGTACAAACACTCTTATATATTGGGCGTACAAACACTTTTATATATTGGGCGAACAAACACTCTTATATATTGGGCGTACAAACACTCTTATATATTGGGCGTACAAACACTCTTATATATTGGGCGTACAAACACTCTTATATATTGGGCTTACAAACACTCTTATATATTGGGCGTACAAACACTCTTATATATTGGGCGTACAAACACTCTTATATATTGGGCGTACAAACACTCTTATATATTGGGCGTACAAACACTCTTATATATTGGGCGTACAAACACTCTTATATATTGGGCGTACAAACACTCTTATATATTGGGCGTACAAACACTCTTATATATTGGGCGTACAAACACTCTTATATATTGGGCGTACAAAAACTCTTATATATTGTGCATACAAACACTCTTATATATTGGGCTTACAAAAACTCTTATATATTGGGCTTACAAAAACTCTTATATATTGGGCTTACAAACACTCTTATATATTGGGCGTACAAACACTCTTATATATTGGGCTTACAAAAACTCTTATATATTGGGCTTACAAACACTCTTATATATTGGGCGTACAAAAACTCTTATATATTGGGCGTACAAACACTCTTATATATTGGGCGTACAAACACTCTTATATATTGGGCGTACAAACACTCTTATATATTGGGCGTACAAACACTCTTATATATTGGGCGTACAAACACTCTTATATATTGGGCGTACAAACACTCTTATATATTGGGCGTACAAACACTCTTATATATTGGGCGGACAAACACTCTTATATATTGGGCGTACAAACACTCTTATATATTGGGCGTACAAACACTCTTATATATTGGGCGTACAAACACGTGGTGCGTGTGGACTATCATGGGCTTAAGTGGGGGCATGTGGACTATCTTGGGCTTAAGTGGGGAGATGTGGACAATATTTGGCTTAACAGTGGGGGCCACTATTTGACTTAAGTGGGGCATGTGGACCATATCTGACTTGACAGTGGACCATATCTGACTTGACAGTGGACCATATCTGACTTGACAGTGGACCATATATGACTTGACAGTGGACCATATCTGACTTGACAGTGGACCATATCTGACTTGACAGTGGACCATGTCTGACTTGACAGTGGACCATATCTGACTTGACAGTGGACCATGTCTGACTTGACAGTGGACCATGTCTGACTTGACAGTGGACCATGTCTGACTTGACAGTGGACCATGTCTGACTTGACAGTGGACCATGTCTGACTTGACAGTGGACCATGTCTGACTTGACAGTGGACCATNCTGTTGAGATGATTCCGTGAACGCCTCGAAAAATTCATCTTTTTTAAGTGATAGGAAATTAGAGGTGTACATGCGTGAATAGATGGCGCGTAATTGCGTGGATATATATAGTGCACTTGCGTGCAGGGGCGTTTATCCCCCCCCCCTCCAGATGGTGGAAGCCTATCCCCCTCCCATGGATCTTGGTCAATTCTGCATGGGATTTAAATTTAATCGGAATGTTCACTTGGAATATTAATAATTTAAAAAATTACAGCTAAATTGTTTTTTTAGAGCATTGTTGACTATTCAATAAAGAAATCAATAACTAACCTATAAAATGCCTCTAACAGCTTAATAATATTTTAACATTTTTCAGCTGATCAAAGGTCCAGAGCAGAAATTTTCAATTTATTTTTTTAATGAATTTTAGTAGGCCTATAATTTTCGTTTTTGTTATAATTCTTTAAAAAATCCTGGCGATGGCTGATCTGGTCGCAAGCCTGTCGGCTTCATATCTCTGGACAAGAGGAGCCACGTCCTTTGCTTTGTTTTGTTTTTTTAATGAGCATTTTTATTTGTACTTTCCCATATTATTAATTTTTCCTTGGGAAATTCAAAACCCGGCAAAGCTTGGGTGGGGGGCTGGGGGAATTTTATCCCCCCCCCCACACACCATTTTACCTCAGAGTGGAAACAAGTGCTTCCTCTCTCTCTTTCCCTCTCTCTCCCTCGCTCTCCTCCCTCCCTCTCTCTCCTCCCTCCCTCTCCTCCCTCCCTCTCTCTCCTCCCTCCCTCCCTCCCTCTCCTCCCTCCCTCCCTCTCCTCCCTCCCTCTCCTCCCTCCCTTCTGCCTCCCAGCACTGCTTACGTTAATAGATATGATGTACTCATTGAACCCTCTCCGAAGCATCACAGTTCTCAAGTGAAGTGTTGAAATGATTGGTTGTGTTTTTTTTTATTTGCGGGTATTCCCGATTTCTCTTACGCACCGTGCGTCTTTGTTCTTTGCGTCACGTGTTCGCCCCCGAAGCTTTAAATGACGTGCTGACTTCTAAGTTGGCATCCAGCTGACCTGATGATAATGGGCGAAGTTGTGCTTGTCAGACAACTACAATCCTAGATTGTCTGACAACTACAATCCTAGATTGTCTGACCACTATCTTAGATTGTATGACTTACGGGGACTGTGTTGCAGCCCATCAATGCCAAAGATGATAGGCTGTCACAATTGAATCAGGCGAAGTTTCCTGTGATTCATTGAATGATTAAATTTAATGTGTCGTCTCTACTTCTTCCTATTTGGTGGTGCCTACTTGGTGGTCCCTACTTGGTGGTCCCGACTTGGTGGTCCCGACTTGGTGGTTGACAGCCCTCGAATCTAGATGCCATTAAGTTTATTGCTTTTTTTTTTTTTTTCACACACGGACACACACGCACACACACCCTACCCACATGTATGGAGACATACACACAGGTGGTCCCTACTTGGTGGTCCCGACTTGGTGGTCCCGACTTGGTGGTTGACAGCCCTCGAATCTAGATGCCATTAAGTTTATTGCTTTTTTTTTTTTCACACACGGACACACACGCACACACACACTACTCACATGTATGGAGACATACACACACTACTCATTTGCCCGGACATACGCACATTGGATGATATTCGACTGTTTCATCACGTGTGTGTCATACTGTGTCGCAAACACTGACCGTGTGAAGCAATACTGTGTCTCAAACACTGATCGTGTGCAGCCATACTGTGTCTCAAACACTGACCTTGTGCAGCCAGACTGTGTCTCAAACACTGACCGTGTGCAGCCATACTGTGTCTCAAACACTGACCTTGTGCAGCCAGACTGTGTCTCAAACACTGACCATGTGCAGTCATACTGTGTCACAACACTAACCGTGTGCAGTCAGACTGTGTCTCAAACACTGACTGTGTACAGTCGGTAAATAAATAATTCTATCACTAGATATTTTTGGATGCATGTAAATGAAAAATTCTTCATATTGTACAATTAACGCTTTGGTACAACTAACGCATTTGGTACAACTAACGCATTTGGTACTACTAACGCATTTGGTACAACTAACGCATTTGGTACAACTAACGCATTTGGTACAACTAACGCATTTGGTACAACTAACGCATTTTGGCACAACTAACGCATTTTGGCACAACTAAAGCATTTTGGCACAACTAAAGCATTTTGGCACAACAACACATTTGGTACAACTAACGCTTTTGGTACAACTAACGCATTTGGTTTTATTCATTTTTTTAAAATAATTTTGAGGTGACATTATCTGATGAATCTAATGGGGGCCCAGCGATAAGGAGCCTACTTATTTTTTGTTTGATCGCTTATATTTCAATAGGACATTTCATCTTTCAATCAAGCACTGGGATTACGTCATCCGTAATGTAATGTCTGCACTGCTTGCTCAGTTTCATTGTTCCTTGATTTTAACACTCGGTGTGCAGTTAACTTCCTGACTGGCCACTGGGCGCACGTTGACTGTGTCACCTATTACTAGACCGCTGGGCCCACCCAACCTCTGTCACGTGATAATTTTAGTTCCCAAATGTCCGTTTATACCCCCAAAAATATAATATCACATCTCAAAATGATAAATGGTGTTTTGGACATTGATATTTCGGATTGCTTGAACTACCGGTACTGGGAAGAGAACAATAGTGTTTGTAGACATTGTGTTTGTTTCTTTGTATATTATTATAATTTCACATCTCTTGACAGTGTATTCGTAAAACCATTTATTACGACAGTAAAAAAAAAAATTTAAAAAAATTTCAAATTCAAAAAATAAATTGTCTTTTTTTTTTCCCTAGGTCCTGTCCAAATGTCAGGAGGGGACATGAGTCCAGGGGTGGTGAAACCGACCAATCAGCAGGAATGTATGTCATGCAAGAAGCCAATCACAGACCGGTTTTTCCTCAAGGTAGGAGAGAGTAGATAATAATAGCGAGAGTAGATATTGTCATTAGGAGAGAAGGTACTGTCGGTGAAAGGGTAGATACTGTCATTGATAGTATCTATTTACATAGAGAGCGTAGCTATTGTCAGTGAGAAAATCTATACTGTCGGTGGGAGCAGAAATTTTCTTAGAGAGCTGTGAGAGAATAGATATTGTCATCACCACACACTTAAATTATTACATAACTTTTTTCTCTCTCTCTCTCTCTCTCTCTCTCTCTCTCACTTCCGCAGTGCCTCGTGTAGGGTCCGTGTGTCGCTCTCACCAAGACCCGAGCAGGCCCGACCCACCGCACGCGCTGAATTCCGCGGGCCGACTTTGCGGATCCACCCGTTTACCTCTGGGCGGTTTCACGTACTCTTGAACTCTCTCTCTCTCTCTCTCTCTCTCTCTCTCTCTCTCTCTCTCTCGCTCTCTCGCGTTATCTTCTAATCATATTTGTAAACCACTAAAAATCCACAAACCAGAAGTAGTGTTAGAACTTTTCATTTAGACTCAACGCCTTGAGATCTGCCTTCTTCCAGTTTGTGATTGGTGATAGCTTTACCGCGTAAACACTCGTCTTACCATTCTTTTTCACACCTGTATTTCTCACACCTGTTGTGCACCTTGCTCACACTTTAAGTCACGTCAGTGGCAGGTTTGATCTGCTCTCCATTACTGCCCCCCCCCCTCTTCCAGGGCGATCTGTTCTCACCCCTCACCTTGGGTTAAAAATGGCTTCCCTTTTACCTGTGGCTCTGTGAACCTGTTTCACACCTGGCAGTTATATTGTCTATCAAAAATGTCTTGGGATAATCTTCCTCTTTGGGCAAGTTTCTGGTGGTGCAGTTGATGCAAGTTTCTGATGGTGCAGTGAGGCGAGTCTCTGGTGGTGCAGTGAGGCGAGTTTCTGTTTCTGATGGTGCCCTTGAAGCAAGTTTCTGGCGGTGCTCTTGAGGCAAGTTTCTGGTAATGCCCTTGAAGCAAGTTTCCTGTGGTGCCATTTAGGCAGGTTTCTGGTGGTCCCCCACACATTTCTTCATTGCATCATTAAAACTACAAAGAGTTGGGATATTGTGCCACTTTGGGCTACAAATGAAATTCAATAACCAAATGTGGTGCGCATTGTTATTTTCAGCTAATTAGCATTTCATACTCACACTTGATCTAATTGACACTTGATCTAATTGACACTTGTTCTAATTGACACTTGACCTAACTCACAAATGATCCAATTCACAATTGATCTAATTCACACTTGATCTAATTGACACTTGATATCACACATGATCTAATTCACACTTTATCTAATTCACACTTTGTCATTAGTGTTCACACATCATCTGGCAGCACCTTACCTCTATGAACTCTCTAACACCCATTGTATTGCTCCCCAGGCCATGGACCAGTATTGGCACGAGGACTGTCTTAAGTGCTCCTGTTGTGACTGTAGACTGGGAGAGGTTGGGTCCACGTTATTCAACAAAGCAAATCTCCTCCTGTGTCGGAGGGACTACTTGAGGTAAATCCCCTTTACATCCAGCATAGGGCACATGCAGCGTATGGCATAGGGCAAATCGAGCATAGGACACTATAGGGCTCATAGGACACATCCAGCATATAGGGCACATTAACCAATCACCAATACCCCAGAGGAATAAGGCTCAAAGGCAGACCCAGGCTTAGGTGGATAGATGATGTAGAAAAAAGATCTACAGCAGTTGAAAGTCCAAACATGGAAAAGAAATGCATTAGTTAGGTCTGAGTGGAAGGAAGTGGTGGGGCAGGCCAAAACCTTACATGGGCTGTAGTGCCACAGGGATGGATGGGGCGCATGCAGCATATGGCATAGGGCAAATCGAGCAAATAGGACACTATAGGGCTCACATGACATAGGACACATCCAGCATATAAGGCACATTAAAAACAGAGCAGATCCAGCATAGGGCGCATACAGCATAGGGCATATTAAGATATATCAAAGTGTCATAATTTTTCTTATGTTTTTTAAATTTAACATTATTTTCTAGCTCCATTCAAAATCGATAGCATTTAATTGAGAGGAAATTTTCTCCAATTTATTACACCATAGAGAAAAACAATTTCATTGTTGTAAAAGTTGAGTTACAAAATGTTTTTATTTTTTTTTAAAAAGACAGTTTATATTAATCCTGGCTTTCAATTTAAGCATTAACTAAACATTTTGATTTTGTAAGCATTAGGTATTCTCCATCACATAGTGATTCAGAGTTTTGCCTGATGACCCATAGATTCTTGTTCATATTCATCAATTCACCCTACACTCCATGTCCCTCTCATTATCCAATTATCTGAGAATGAACTTATTCCCCACCCCCTCTCTCCTTCATATTACCCTCCACATCCATCGCATCAATCGTCCCCAGGTTGTTTGGTACGACGGGCTACTGTGCAGCTTGTAAGAAGATGATTCCAGCCTTCGAGATGGTCATGAGGGCCAAGAACAATGTCTACCACTTAGAGTGCTTTGCCTGCCAGCAGTGTATGCACAGGTGAGCTAAAGGTCATAAGTCATAAGTCTTGATTCTTGTTAGGGGGGGAAGGGAGGCGGGAAGAAATTGAGGAGGGTGCATTTGGCTCCCACGTAAAAGTGGAGAGGGGTGGTCAGAAAATGTGACCCACAGAGGGGACATTTCAGGGTTTAAGTGTGGGGGGGGGGTGGAATAAGCTAAGTGAGGGTTAATGTATTAACAATATCTCCTAACCCGATTGTGTTGCAGATCTAAATTGTATCATTGGAATGAATTTAAATTTTACCTTAAGTTAAATAACATTAACCACATTCTTTAAATATACGGTGATATGAGTTTAACTATTTTTTTTTAAAGAAAATGTGTACATTGGGGTAGAATGGGGTGGGACAATTGACTGTTTGTGTTGTTCAGAGGCGTGCATAAAGTGTGCGGTGGGATACATGGAGGGGGGGGGGGCTAACATCCCGGTGGACCTTTTATTAAAGGTTACTACAAACTTAATAAAATATTTGTGTGGGGGGAGGGATGTGGGTTGAGCTTTTTTTAATTTTGCCCCATGCAGCGTAAGTAACGCCACAGTATGGCTGGGCGTATTTTATAAGTAGAGTTTAGCATAGTAAAATTTTAAAGGTCAAATATTTTTACATGACGGGAATTGATATAATCGATCATTTTAAAACTAATGAAATAATGTATATAACCTTTGTCTAAAAAAAACACATTTCAAGCATAGGAAAGACCATGTGTGCGTATTTATGTGGATGACTACATCTTCAAACCCTATGTTATTAAATTCACGAAAAAAGAAGTTTTAGATTTTTCTTTTAAAATTAATAAATCACATTATGTGTTATGCCAATGTCCAAAAATACAGTTCAGTGGCGGAGACACATCATGGGCACATTTACATACGTCAACACATATCGATACCGCCAAACTCAATGAAGTTGGATTGGGGGGAAAATAGTGGATGGGATTTTCTTTAAAACTAATGACATTGAGATTTGTTTCCCCCAAAGATACAGCTCAGGTGCAAGAATAATTTTGTTTAGTTCCCGTAAATAAAGATCAGGTTCCTGAACGATGATGAGTTAAGATTTTTCTGTAAAAATAAGAAATGATTTGTTTTTCCAATTTGTTTGACAGGTGGGGGTAAATTTTCATGAGATTAATCATTCCCTTTTTTAAGAAGCATGGTGTTGCAGACAAGAAAATGGGTCAAGATATTTTTTCTATAGATACCCCGGTATAAAAATTCTGTGTTTTACAGTTTTCCGATAATATGGTTCAGGAGCCAGTAAAATGGTTGGGTGTATTTTTAAGGAAGATACCAATTCATCAAACATCTGTTAACATTACAGATATTTAAAATGATAAATATATAATTTTTTAAAAAATATATATTTGAATTTAAGAACATGTATATATTAATTTTTTTAGAAAATCTGTTTTCAATGTAGTTCAGGGGCGTGTGCAGGGATTAGGTGGGGTTATATTATATAGAAATAGAAGATAAACATTGTTTAAAATTCAATGATGTTGGAAATATCTATTTTGTAAATAGATACTTCTTTAAAAATAAGGAAAGTCTGATTTACTATTTCCATAATATGCATGTCATTGGTTTGGAAAATTGCCGTATTTTTTATTTTGAGGATATGATACATCAAAACCCAATTTGGTTAAATATGTTTTAAAAAATGGATTTTTAGATGTTGACACTTGGCAGTGGCATGTAGAAACGAGCACAATATGACTTTCATTAGAACCCCGGTAACACTGGGTCATATCTTCTGGTATTATTTATTGATAGATTTGTAAAGATAATAGTTAATTTAAGACCAATGCTGATATTACAACCAGACCAATAATTTCTACACTAACCATTGTTGCTTGCAGGTTCTGTGTGGGGGACAGGTTCTACCTGGCCGACAACAAGATCCTGTGTGAGTTCGACTACGAGGAGAGGATGATGTTTGCAAACTTAGGCAGCAATATCAACCATTCAGGCATTCCCAACGGGCTTTCTAATGGCTGTGGGGGGCCTAATGGCGCCCCCGGAGGAGGGGGAGGTGGCGGCGGTGGTGGGAATGGCATGAGTGGAGGAGGCATGGGACATTACGGGTACAGTGGCTACAACGCCCTAACCCAGATCAAGAGGCAGACGCAGAGCTTGAGTGATGATGTGTCCAGTGGATATGGGAGCCCATCGCCCAGTTCCTTATGACAATCCGTTCACACGTCTGTTGTTAAATGAGAGAGACTGGAGGGAAGGGGGTGGGGAAACAAATATCACATTGCTCATATGCTAGTATGGTTGAAGATTTCTGTCACTGTTTTGTTCATAGTTTTATGAGGCTCATTGGTGTGAGTGAGCGAGCTTACGCCAGGCAACAATGTATTCTCGCCCTTAACCCAGGGCTTAGTGTGTGTAGGGCATGCAGTTGTCTGGTGGCAGGGCTGGGGGCATGCCAGATAGGTAGTTGCCCTTGTGCACTATTTTCAAGAAGGCGAAATATCAAAGAAAAATATAAATAAATAAAAATCTATGAAATGATGTCCAATTAATAATGTGTATTTATATTAATAATTTTTGTTTAAAAAAAAAAAATTTGGTTCCGGAAGGAGGATTTTGTTTACTGGATGACTGGAAATCGTTGAGCAAGTATGAACCAGTGGTGTAATACTTGCCTGGCCCTGGCCTCTGGCAACCCATGCACACGACTCCCATCAACTGATTCCACTGTCAAAAGTCAATCAAAATTAACTTAGAATTGGTCCACTCTTGAAAGTAAGAGGCTGGTTTGTTGCCTCTTAAATCATTTTTAATATAATACAATAGATTTTAGCAATTGCTTTGATATGCAAACTCATTGGATTTGGTCAAGCTCGGAAGTTGTTTTTTTTTTTTTTTTTTTTTTTTTGGGGGGG